GACTAAAGGTGACAAAATACTAAGTGACAAAATGCTGACTAAAAGAGACAAAATGCTGACTAAAGTGACAAAATGCTGACTAAAGTGAAAAAATGCTGACTAAAGTGACAAAATGCTGACTAAAGTGACAAAATGCTGACTAAAGAGACAAAATGCTGACTAAAGAGACAAAATGCTGACTAAAGAGACAAAATGCTGACTAAAGAGACAAAATGCTGACTAAAGAGACAAAATGCTGACTAAAAGAGACAAAATGCTGACTAAAAGTGACAAAATGCTAACTAAAAGTGACAAAATGTTAACTAAAAGTGACAAAGTGCTAACTAAAAGTGACAAAATGCTAAGTGACAAAATGCTGACTAAAGAGACAAAATGCTGACTAAAAGAGACAAAATGCTGACTAAAAGAGACAAAATGCTGACTAAAGAGACAAAATGCTGACTAAAGAGACAAAATGCTGACTAAAAGTGACAAAATGCTGACTAAAAGTGACAAAATGCTGACTAAAAGTGACAAAATGCTGACTAAAAGTGACAAAATGCTGACTAAAAGTGACAAAATGCTGACTAAAAGAGACAAAATGCTGACTAAAAGTAACTAATGTTAGCTAAATGTAATTGTACTGAAACACTAGGTAAAAATTTATAATAGCACAATGCAAGCCGAATGCTAAATGGAGTGCAAAATTAGCTAAAAGTAGCAAAAGTGCTGAAAGTATTAAAAGGCTAACTAAAAGTTAAAAGTTGCAGAATACTAGTTCAAAGAGGCAAAATGCTAAATACAAAAATGGCAAAATGCTAGATGAACATTACAAGACACTAGTTAAAAAATGTTGGTTAAAAGTAACAAAATAGTACCTGAAAGTATTTCTACTAAAACACTAGCTAAAAAATAGAAACAAAATGCCAGTAAAAGTAGCAAAATGGTGGATAAAAGTAGCTGACATTAGCTAAATGTAACAGTATTGACACATGACACACTTAAAAGTAAAAGCAGAAAAATGCAAGATGAATGCTAACTGGACTGAAAAAATAGCTAAAAATAGCTCAGTTCTGAAAGCATTATCTCATAAAATCTATCTAAATGTTGCAAAATGCTGCTAAAAGAAGCAAAAATGTTAACTAAAAGTAATAGTATACTAGTAAGCTGAATAAAGTTGAAGGATAGCTAAAAATAGAAAAATGCTGGAAACATTAAAAGGCTAGCTAAATGCTAAAAGGAAAAGAATGCTAGTTACATAATAAAATAACAAAATGCTAGCTAACCATTGCAAACAGTCGCTAAAAAATAAAAGCAAAATTCCAGTAAAATTATAAAATACTAATTAAAAAGTAAAAGCAGGGAAATACAAGCTGAATGCTCAATCAACCTAAAAATAGCAAAATGTTGAAAACTTTTAAGGGCTTGCTAAGAGTAACTGAATGTTAGTTAAAAGTAGCAAAATGCTAGCTGAATGTTGCACAACACTTGGTAAAAATAGTAAAATGGTAGAAGCATTAAATGTTTTCCTTAAAAATTAAAACTTGCAGAACGGTAGATCAGAGTAGCAAAATGCCAGCTAAAAGTTGTCCAAGGTGACCAGACGTCCCCGAATTCCAGGGACAGTCCCAGTTTTGGATGACTTGTCCCCAGCTAAAACTGTCCCCAGAAAAGTCCCCCRATTTGAGCTTTTTGTGCATGAGGGGGAAAAGTTGCTTGTAGACTCTTAAAACCACAGTCGAGTCCAAGCGCGACTGTTTGTGAGCTTGTTGTGCAGCGTTGTCATGGCACAGGGAGGAGAAAAAAAGCAGTCAGTCTGCAGCGGCTGGCTCTGTTCCTCACCGGTCAGCCGGTGTGTGATCCGGTTAGAAGTGAGTCCTCCTGTTAAATAAACTGTTTAAACTCCGCCCACCTGGCCCCGGCTCACTGTTGCTGTACCAACATGCTAAATAAATCCAAACAAAGACAAAACAAGACAATAAAATAACAACTATGGTTCCCTCTTAAAGCTGGGTCAACAACTATAACTGCAGACCAGTAAGACGCTACTTGTAGACCTGGTCTGGATCTCCTCACCCATCTCCCACTGGACCCAGGTCTTCTTGTGTCACTTTAAATTTCATTTGGAGTCTCTGCATCAAGAAATAAACACACGCATGTCCACTCACATCAGCCAAGCGCAGAGACATCCTCATGTTGATCAATAACCCTCATAGATCATCAGCTGCAAGGGAAATGAATGGGATTTGCATATATAGAGGCGAGTTTAGCCAAGCGCTCACAGGACGGCCTGAAACTGCTGCCTTCAGCACGCTGACCCCCATCACTAGGTAGGGCCGGTGTGTGTGTGTGTGTGTGTGTGTGTGTGTGTGTGTGTGTGTGTGTGTGTGTGTGTG